GTTTGAACCAAGAAATGAAATCGGGCCTCCCTGGTCCCACACCCTTTGAAAGAAGGGTATCAGTTTCCTGCGGGGTTGGATCCCTTCGTCCCTGCTAGGTTTGACGAGTGAATTCCCTGTACCAAAGAGAAATAAGGGGTTTGGATGCGAAATAGTGTGACGGCGTATCGAAACAAGGGGGTTGAGAACTTACCCAATGAACGGCTGCACCTCGACAAGGTTGGTCAACACATACAGCATGATACTGCGCCACTCTTCATTTTTCAATTGCTTAGTGGTCGATGCACTTGCGCTTCCGAGCTGCCCTTGGAAAAGGCTGAGCTTCGATTCATTTTCACCAGCATTGTAACGAGGGGTGGATTATGCATGCTAGGAAGGAGGTTCGGTTTGTAGTATTTCTGTGTGAAGGTTCCCACCTCCTCCCTAACGGTTTCCTCTGCAATGGAAGCCTCAATTTTGGCCTTATTTCTACATTTTGTTCGAACAGTCTTCAGACATCTCTCGATTGGATAGCACCACCGGGCCTGCACGGGCCCCCCATACGTGCCTCATAGAGGAGGTGCACAATCAAATGCTGCATCGGCAAGAAGAAGCCAGGTGGAAAGATCTTCTCCAACTTACAGACCAACACAGGTGCCGCTTTTTCCAAGTCACGAACGACGGACCGGTCAAGCTCCTTTGCACAAAGCTGGCGAAAGAAATAGCTCAACTCTGCAAGCACTTGCCATATATGATCAGGGACATAGCCTCGAACCATCGCTGGAAGAAGCCGCTCAATCCAGATGTGGAAGTCATGACTCTTCATCCCGTTGACTCGCAGAGTGCCTAAGTTGACTCCCCTCCTCAGATTCGCTGCATACCCATCAGGGAACATTAGCGTTTGGATCCATTGAAGTACTTCCCTCCTCTGATCCCTGGTCAAGACAAAATCGACCTTAGGCCGCCTCCATGTCTTGTTGCCTCTAGGAGGCTGCATCTCTTGCTTTGGTCTATCACATAACGTTGCCAGGTCCACTCTAGCCTTAGTGTTGTCCTTAGACTTTTCAGTGTCCATGAGTGTTCCCCAAAGTGCCTCGGCGACATTCTTCTCGGTGTGCATTACATCGATGTTATGTGGCAGAAGAAGGTCATCGAAATAGGGGAGCCTCATCAAGCCTGACTTATGTGTCCACATATGTTGCTCACCATATCCCACAAACCCACCATCTGGAGCGGACATGAGAGCATCTATCTGCGAATGAACCTCGGCACTAGTCATCATCCGCGGTGGAGGGTCTGTCACTACGACACCTTTTGTAAAGTTCTTGATGTCTTGTCTGAATGGATGCTCAGAAGGGAGGAATTGCCGATGTGCGTCGAACGACGAATACTTGCCACCCTTCCGTAACCAGATGAACCTCAAAGCTTCCTTGTATACTGGGCATGGGAACTTCCCGTGAACACACCAACCGCTGAATAACCCATACGCTAGGAAGTCATGCATGGAGTACTGGTACCAAACGTGCATTTTGAAGCTTGTCTTTGTAGCTCTATCGTATGTCCATACCCCTACCTCCCAAGCATGGATCAATTCATCAATCACCGGCTCCATGAACACACCCATATTACTCCCCGGGTGTCCAGGAATTATCAACGACAAGAATATGTTATGTCGTTCAAAGGAGACACCGGGGGGGAGATTGAGGGGGATAACGAACATGGGCCAACAAGTGTATGGGGCAGCCATCATTCCATAAGGATTGAACCCGTCTGTGGCCAACGCAACACGTACATTACGAGCCTCTCCAGCTTTTTCACGATATATGTCATCGAAGTGTTTCCATGCTTCACCATCGGCTGGATGCACCATCTTCTCCGGACTGTACTGTTTTCCATTTTTGTGCCATGTCATCTGTTTCGCGGATTCCTAGTTCATGAATAGCCGTTGGATCCTCGATAGGAATGGAAGACGCCGTACGATCTTCACTGGGACTGTCATCTGACTCTTCTGACCATCACCAAAGTCTGTTTCCAGGTACCTAGACGATTCACACTTTGGACAGTACTTTGCGTCCACATGTTCTTTCCAGAATAGGATGCACCCCTTCGGACAAGCATGTATCTGCTCATACGGCATCTTAAGTGCCCGAAGGAGCTTCTGTGAATCGTACATGCTCTTTGGCAGAATGTGGCTCTCCAGAAGCAGGGTGCCAATCACGATCACATGTGGAGATGTCCGGGTTTCTAAGCACCGTACGTGACAACGTGCACGAAACTTTTTTAAATTTTTACCATAGTTTCCACATGCTATATAACGATGCATCCACAAGTTTCGTGATTTTCTGAATTCATTTGAATTTTATACAATTTAAAAACATTTTGGCCGCAACTTTGTCCTCATGTTTCGTTAACAAGATGTGAAAAATATCCCGCAAGTTCCTGGATATGGCCTCAAAACACACTCACTAGCGTGACAATCATTTTTTGAATGATTAGATTTCATTATTCGATGCACTTGCAGTTCAAACTTGCTTTTTGCAAAATAAATCAACAAAACAAAAATAATTCTAAAAATATAGTAAAAAGTCACAAAATTCAACCAAATTTTAACATGTACTTTAAAGCACTGTATAAACCCTAAAGAAAAAATCTGGGAGCAAAAATAAAACAAAAATTCTTTGCCGAGTGCCAGACCTGGCACTCAGCAAAGGGGGTCTTTGCCGAGTGCCAGAGACAGGGCACTCGACAAAGAAAATAAACAAAAAAATTAAAAAAAACTTTGCCGAGTGTTTAAAAAATTCGTTGCCGAGTGTCTGACGGCGACCACTCGGCAAAGCCTAACGATGGGTGGCCGCCGTCACCTCGGTTAGCCTTTGCCGAGTGTTTAGCTTTGCCGAGAGCCCGACACTCGGCAAAGGGAGGCTTTGCCGAGTGTTATACTTTGCCGAGTGCCTGGCACTCGGCAAAGATGGATATGCCGAGTGTTGGTCTTTGCCGAGTGCGGCACTCGGCAAAGTCTACCTTTGCCGAGTGCTTGATATTTGGCACTCGGCAAAGTAGGAAACACTCGGCAAAGCCCCTGTTTCCCGTAGTGATTCACTATAGAGAAAGAGACGAAGCACTCGATATTCACGAGTAGCGCATATAGAGTTATAATAAGCTGGATTATTTTATGCCTGGAAGACCACTAAATAATATGGCAATTATGGCGCAGACTAGAGCATCATCACGCCAACGGTCACACGAACGCAGAAGTGTGGCAATGCACATGAGTAGTTGCAGGCCGTTCTGTCCAAAACAAAATTACTACTGTAAGTAATAATATGGTTTACTCTGAAACCTTGGTTCTTTAATTACTGCATTATTAGGAGCCTATTTGTAGCAGGAGACATCCGAGATGAGACGGCAGCCTGCTGCACCGTGCCATGAGTGGGAAATATCCAAGACACAGGCTGTTTTCGCACTGTGGGAAATATATATCCTATACAATCACTACCGGAAACAGCAGCTTTGCCGTGTGCCACAAGTATCAGACAGCAGGTACATTCCTTTGATGCCCGAATGAACTGAAGGCATATGTTTCACGTAGACACATAGACAAAGCACTCTTATTCACGAATTGTTGTATGCTAGCAGCGAAGGACCACTAAAATTGGCAATTATAATGCAGAAAATATAGCATCGTGAATGCTTGCATTTTTCTTTTCTGCCTTACGAGTACAACAATTTGTAGAGATAGGCATCTTAAGATGCCCACCCTGTAATCGATTTATAGAGATGGGCGTTCTAAGGTGACCCTCTCTGTAAACTGATTTGTTAGCACAGTTGTAGGTGATGTGCCCATGGATACCAATCACCTACGGCAACTTCTTTGATCTCGAGAACTCTTAGTCAGTCTCTCGTATACATTAATAGGGACAGGGTGGTTGTGAACGGGTGTGTGATCATGTACATCAATACTGTGTTTTGCCAAAGACAAAAAGAAATATTATATTCAGGACCGGGTGAAGGGTACCACGCTCTGAGTGAGAGTGGTATGCATAATATATAAGAGCATGGAATAAGCACAGACTCTTTTTTTTTTTACCAGTCTTAGTAGAAAGTATGCATATTCGTGAAGTCTTGTTTAATAATTTCACAAATAAAAGTAGCTAGGAATAAACACAGGCTCTTTTCTCACTGTGGGAAATATACAATACAGTCACACTAAGTTTCAAAAGTGGTAGAGACGAACAGGTGCATTCCTTTGATGCCCAAACGAAGGCATGTTTCACCATGAGTGGGAAATATCCAAGACATATATAGTAGGCTGTTTTCGCACAGTGGGAAATATCCAATACAATCACATTCAGTTCCACAAGTGGCAGACGAGCTGTTGCATACATTCCTTTGATGCCCGAATGAATATTTGAAGCATATGTTTCACGGCGATAAATAGACAAATCACTCTTATTCACGAATTGTTGTATGCTAGCAGCGAAGGACCACTAAAATTGGCAATTATAATGCAGACTATAGCATCGTGAATTCTTGTTTCTTTACTGGCTTAGAGCAATTCCAAAAGACTATCTATATCCTTGCTAAATGCTACGAATAGACATTTTGGTGAAAAATTACCCTACAACAGCTTGTCTAAATGGTTATGTAAATATAGCCATCTTCTATTTCGGATTTTTCGCTAGCCAAAAATAGAAGACGATAATGGCTCTCTAGAGTGTGCACGAGACATAGAAAAACTGTTGGAGAGTGAAAAGATATAGAAATCGATTTTTATGGAAAGGACTCTCCAAATAATGATTTGGAGAGTGAGATTTAGAAACACTCTTGGAGATGCTGTTACGAATACTACGAGGCTATTTATAGCAAGAGCCTCCAGATGAGAAGGGCATCCTGCAGCAGCACGAGTCTTAGCAACACACACACACCAAGAAAAGAAAAGGGCAACATATATACTCAAAGCATCCCATCCATCGAGCTAGCTAATGGCGTTTCTGACCACCAACACGCTGTGTATCCCCAACATGGGGGCGGCAACCGTGCCTCGCCGCCGCAGCCTCCTCATTGCCAGGGCTACCACCAAATCTGCCGAGCACCAAGAGCCAGCAGCAATACCCGCCGATGGCGCTCATCGTGCCAGTGGGCGGTGGCGCCGAGCCGTGATGTTGTTCAGCGCTGCCGCCGCCCTCACAGGAGCCACAACAGCCGCCATCAGCCAATCGGCAAGAGCGGACGAAGAACGCGCTGGTGGATGGTCTGATATAGAAGACTTGAGTGACCCACGTGTCCAGGATATCGGTAAATGGGCTGTCTCTGAGCACAATACACAGACCGGGAGCAACATGCAGTTCGTTGGGGTCCTTATTGGTAGGAAACAAGTTGTCGCGGGCGTGAATTACATCCTTACTCTCGAAACGAAGGGGTCTAGGGCCCCTTTGTGGGAAGCTAGCGTGTTTGATCCACTGCCTGGTGGTGGGAAACGTCAGCTTAACTCGTTTTTGCCATTGATTAGGTAAGCTAACGAAGGGCGAATCACTGTGTCTCTAAGCTATGATGCTGTGTGTATGAGTGTGAGTCTGTGTTCCCACTATTCCCTACGTTCAACACTGTATGTGATGTTTATCTGGTTTGCAAAAATAACAGTGGAATAAAGATGTCTCATTTTAAAGTGTTTTTTTCAAATAACTATCAATGTGTTTCATGCATATATACATCGCCCTGGCTTCATGGGAGGAGTTTGCGTTGTGTCGACACTGCGTGTTGGAATATGATCCGAATTCTAACTGAGTCTTGCGGAGACGCCTGTTGATTTCAAGGTTCGGGTAGTATAATTAACGGATTTGTTTCCATATTGGACTACAGCCGTACGGGAAGAGCAGACGACCTATTCTATAAAATGCATGTGTAAACTCTCCTCATATAGTGAAGATCGCTGGTTGGCGCCTGTAATTTTTTTCCGCAAGGTTTTTCTACGTAAAATGTCTCGTATTCGATCTATATATTGGTATTATTTGCTATTTGCTAACAAGTGGTATCTAAACTCGGCTGCTGCCGTCGTCGTCGGATCTCTCTGAATCGGCGCTTTGCTGCCGTTCGAGGAATCTCGCAGCCGCCGGAATCAATCCTGCGAGTTTTCTCACGCCGAGTGCAGATCAAAACCGAGTCGATCTTTGCTGTCGTAGTTCCGTTCATCTACAAAAGCTGCGCAAGGAGGCAACTTTGGTTCAGGCGGAGTCGGCTTGTCGTCCAAAAAAGCTGAGTGTCTGAGCCCCCACGCCGCTGGTTTCCCTGGTTGCCACGCACGCAGATGGAGGCTGCAAGCCTGCAAGTTGCAGAACGTGTGTTGCTCAGCGCGTGTTGGAAAAATTAGCAAACTTTGCTACGTGCACACGGTGATTTATAACCAGGAGCTCTGTTTCTTTAGTTATTAGTTGATCGTACACAAGTTGTGTACCAGGCTACCGGTTTTGGGTAGGGTTACTCGTAAAATACCTATATTTCTGTAGATTATATTCTTCTGGTTATTTCATCACCATGTCGATGAATTCTGATCTTTGACAACTGGATCACGACACAAGGTTCATTTTATGACAGATCAAGATGAGGGCTATTCTTACACAGGCTGAAGTGGATGATACTCATGATCTTAATAAATTCGATAAGAAGGATTCAAAATCTTGGACCGAAGAGGAGAAGAGAAAAGATCGCAAGGCCTTGACTCAAATTGAGCTTCATCTATCAAATAATATTTTGCAAGATGTTTCATAAGAGAAACTGCAGCTTCTCTATGGCTCAAGTTAGAGTCAATTTGTATGTCTAGGGATTTGACAAGAAAGATCCAGATAGAGATGAAGTTACATACGCACAAGTTGCAAGAGGGTGGTTCTGTGCATAAACATCTTTCAGTCATCAAGGAGATCATTTTAGATCTACAGACTATGGAGGTAGATTATGATGATGAGGATTTGGGTGCCATTCTTTTGTGCCCTTTGCCTTGTTCTTATGTAAACTTTAGAGACACTCTGTTTTCACTACTACACAATCTTCATCACTGCCAGTTCCAAATCCCTCACCACCGCCGGTTTTGGACCCTCGGCGGTGAAAACTAGTTGGTGATAAGAATGGTCATCACCGCTGGATCGTGTTACCAATCGACGGCGATTAGGATTTCCATAAATTCCAAAATTTGGTCAAAAAATAGCTAAAAAATTTGTTTTAATCTTGAGAAGTCCCCAACATCCAGCCGCACTATCACAAGCCATGTGATTTTCTCACAAAAATCCGCACTTTATGCGATGGTGGGATTCAAACCTCACGTGTAGCTACTCTAACCACTCCACCCTTAAGTCACTTGTGTCTATATGGCATATTCATTCCCCTAGTACACTATTACAGAAAGTTTAATCACCGCCGCGGCTTTAACCAACGGTTTTGAGACAACCGGTGGTGGTGCGTATCACCGCGACCCATGCGCTGAGAGGTCCTCTCTGGCCGAATAACCGGCAGTGATGGACATTTTTGCCGCTGCCCGGTGTATGATCCGGCGGTGAACAAATTGCCAGGCTTCGCTACCGTATCGTACGTCGGACCATCGGTAGAACACTTATCACCGCCAGCCGTTGATGCGACACGTGACGCATAGAGGAAGCGTCAGAGATAATAAGCTTTCACCGCCGGTACCAAGATGGATGGGTGCTCCACCGTAAGATCTAGCGATGACCTTTATGTACCACCGTTGGTTGATTGTATGATCCGGCAGTGGAAATCGCAATAATTGAAGATGTCTTCCCGCCCTTTCATGTTGGCGGTGATAAGAAAGTTTTACCGCCATTTTGTTCGGACACTGAATATCATAGTCTACCATCCGGCGGTAATAATGGGTATCACCACTGGTTGTCCAGATAATCCGGCTGTGATAGACGGCTGCAAGAGGAATGAAAACCCCATTTCCCTCCTCTTCTTCTTCACTCGGTTAACTTTTCTTCGGCCGCGGCTCCCCAAACCATTTTTGGTGACCGCCACACTAGTGAAGGCTGTAGATTTTTGAAGGATGTTCTATATTAGGATTTCCATAAATTTCAAACTTGGGTTAAAAAATTGCTAAAAACTTCTTTTAATCTCAAGAAGTCCCCACTACCCAGCTGCACGGTCGCAAGTTATACATTTTTTTATGTCCTCACGTCATCCAAGTATAATACTAGATGTAGGCACAACACTCGCAGACAGGCTGACAGCAGCCGAGGCAGCAGCGACCATGGCAGCACTAGCAAAAGCCATCATAGCTCAGTGCCGCCCACCGTAATATTCACCCTCGCTATTGGCTACTGGCTCTACTAGGTGTTCAGAACATTTGGCAGTGGCCTCAGTCACCATGAGGCGCGGCTGGGGCAGGGAGGGGCTGTTAGAATATCTCGGCGATAGATCAAGGTTGATACGGTGTATCCTTTGCTTGACTCTCAAGGAAGAATATGCGGCTCCATATGATATAGGATAGGATCTCCGAGTTGTTATTGTTTCCTTTGTTGTAAAGATTAGATGAGATAGAGATCTTGTAGATTGACTTGTTTTACAAGATGTAAGCCACGCTAGGGGCTCTTCCTAGCCATATATTAACACGGAGCCGTGAGTCTGAGAGGGCATCACGTTCAACCCATTTTACATGGTATCAGAGCCTGTCTTCTCCACAAACTCGTCAATGGCTTCCTCCTCTGCTCAGCCTGCATCGTTCTCCCTGATAGGCTCCCTGATAGGTTGTCCAGTCACCAAGAAACTAGCCAAAAACAACTACCCACTATGGAAGATGCAGGTCCTTTCTGCTTTGCGCGGTGCCCAACTCGCCCACTATCTCGATCCCAAGATGGTGGCACCGCCCAAGCAGATCCTCAAGACCGCTGAGAAGCCAGATGAGTTGATCTCCAATCCTGAGTATGAAACTTGGGTGGCCAAGGTTCAGCAAATCTTCAATTACTTGCTGTCCTCCATCTCCAGAGAGATCATGGTGCTGGTTTCGACCTGTACCACCGCCACTGAGTTATGGAAGGTGATCCATGACATGACCTCATCACAATCTCGTGACCGGATCATCAATATGCACATGGCGTTGGCCACTGCACAGAAGGGTTCCTCCACCATCGCTGAATTTTTTAGGAAGATGAAGTCTCTCGCCGACGACATGGCGTCTGCGGGAAAGAAGCTGGAGGATGAAGAAATTGCATCTGACATCCTTGCTGGCCTCGACATCGAGTACAATCCAGTTGTCTCATCCATGGCAGCGCGCGTGGAGCCGCTGACCCTTGGCAAACTCTACACCCAACTGGTGAGTTGGGAGCAGAGAATAGATCTGCATGGCGGTGGCTCTAGATCCTCCACCAATTCTGCTTCACGTGGTGGTCATGGTGGCTTCAACCATGGCGGTGGTCGCGGACGCGGTCGCGGCAACAATGGCAATGGCGGTCGTCCTCAGCAAAACTCCACCGACTGTCCCACATGCTAGCTTTGCGACAAGGAGGGACATACCGTGGTGCGCTGCTTCAAGCGTTTTGACGCTTCATTCGCTAGTCCACAGGAGCAGCAGCGCACGGCATCCTCCGCCATGGCATCCTACGGCGTCGATACAAACTGGTACACTGATACCTATGCCACGGATCAAATCACCAGCAAGCTTGAGAAGCTCATTGCGCGTGACAAGTATCACAGCAGCGATCAGGTGCACACCGCCAACAGAGCAAGTATGAGAATCAGTCAAATTGGTCGAAGTTTCGTTCATACCCCAAACCGCAACCTTGTTTTAAACAATGTTCTTTACATTCCTGAAGCCAACAAAAATCTTGTTTGCGTTCATCGTCTTACATCCGATAATAGAGCCTTTATTGAGTATCATCTAAATTATTTTGTGATTAAGGACCAGGAAACGAAGAAGCCTCTTCTTAGAGGGAGTTGTGAAGGTGGTCTTTATCCGTTGAAGTCTAGGCCTCCACCAAATAAAAGGACGTATGGCGCCGTCAAAGCTTCTTCCTGCAGATGGCATAGTCGGCTTGGCCATCTGTCGTTTGCTGTAGTTCAGCAGGTCCTTAGCAAGAGTCATATCACTTTTGTTTCCGAGTCGAATAAAGACACTGTATGTGACACTTGTCAAAAAGGCAAGAGCCACCAGCTGCCCTATCCTAGATCTACAAGTGCTTCATCTAGTCCTCTAGAACTTGTTTCTTCAGATGTATGGGGTCCAGCGCCTACTTCTGAAGGCAAAAACAGTTATTATGTGAGTTTCATTGATGATTTTAGCAAGTTCACATGGGTTTATTTGTTGCGTCAAAAGTCTGATGTTTTCAAAAAAATTCATGAGTTCCAAAATATGGTTGAGCGCCAATTTGATAGAAAAATCATCACTATGCAAACCGATTGGGGAGGGGAATACCAGAAGTTGAATGCATTCTTTCAACGGATTGGCATCTCCCATCATGTGTCCTGTCCCAATGCGCATCAGCAAAATGGCTCAGCTAAACGCAAGCATTGCCAT